AAAACATTGAGCCACGGCAATCGCTCCCAAGAGCTCAGTTTTTAAGCTAGATCCAATTTCTTTGCATGAGAGGACGCAGAATAGACTGCGCTATCAAACTGCTATCTCGGATTTTCGAAATTTTGAAAATTTCGAAAATTTTATATAATAAAATTCAAAATTTATATTTTTACATTTTTTTTCAAAAACTTTTTGACTTTTCGAAAAACCGGAATATATGTGATAGAACGCATTATTATGACTAACTCTAGCAAGTTTTAGCTAAATATCTTCAAAAATGGCCAAGTTATACGCATTATTGCAAAAAATTAACAATTATTAATTTTTCAAATCAATTTTTCAGCACGAATTTGACATCGTACGCCAATATAAATAGCACCATCGTGTTCCTGAGCTCAAACTGCATCCAATAGACACCTTTTTTGTTGAAAAATTTTAACTTCAAAATTTGACCTTTTTTGACCTGAAAGTGACCTGACCTGAGCTAAATTTGACTCAAAATGACCTCGAATGACACAGACGATATCAAATTCGAAAGGTTTGGCCTAAATGGACCATAAAACATGTGTCACGTGACCGACGGATGATATGATATTTTCGTGACCTGTGATGACCTGACCTTGACCTGAAAATCAAAGTACAAGTTTGGTACCCTCAGAATATCTAGAGCATCTATTCACAAGTGTGTGAACCAAAAATGAGCCTGATCTGACTTGTAAGACGGCGGCCAGAGCCCAAAACGTGAACAAGCCAAAATGCTAATAATTTTTACTTTGACCTGACCTGTGACGTCATCGGTGACCTCGAGGTCAATAAAATTAGGTTTCGCTTGACAGTTTTTCCGGGGCTATCAGACGCCGTTTGAATTTTGACGATCGGCCCAGTAGTTTCGGAGTTAGGAGGGGGGGCTATGAATAGCCCCCCCCCCCCCAGTAGGGCGTGTTATACGCAGACCCCAGTGGGGCGCGGGCTAGGGTAGGACAGGGCACGGGCGTAAAGATGGGAAGACAGCGCATACAACTTCAAGGCAGAGTACATAAGGTATCGGATTTGAGGGCAGGACAGGGCTGGGCACAGGGCCTGAAGGAAGGGCAGGGCAAGGTACAAGACGTAAGGACAGGACACTGGGCAGGGCACATACCCTAGGGGTATAGTAGGGGAGGATATAACAAGGTGTACGACTTCAGGATAGAGCAAGGCACAAGGAATGGAGAGGGTATGTTTGTGCTTAGGTACATAGTAAATCAGGGCACAAAGCAATCGAAAAGCAACATCTGTTACACAGTAAAAGACCGAGGCATGTTACTTATTTTTGCTAGCACTTTTCCGCTGACACCCTGTCATTTCAGTGTGGGACGCAGTGGTTCAAATTTCGCGAGGGCTACGTCCCAAAGGCAGGGGGCTGCGCCCCAAATGTGACGCAGTCAGTTTGTTAAAATATACCCTGAGTGTTTGAGAGAAATTGAACGTCGCGCTTATTGGGAGGTCGGATAGACCCACCCATGACCCTCAGTTAAAAAAAAAAAAACTCGTAAAAGGTGGCCGATCGCGGCGAAACTTTTCGCATTCACGAGCTAATCAAAATTACACACATCATGACAATTATATGACCCCGAACCCCATGACCCTTGACCTATGGCGTGTTTCTAGAGACCATGGCATGGCAGAATCGCGATTCTGCGTGTTAGCGCACATTATCGACGCGTTTTCAGACTATTTGTCTTAAAAAAACGCGCAAACTTGTGGAATGATTGTAATACCATGCCTTATGGTAGGTGTCAGGGTAGCATTAGGGTCAGGTGGTCAAGGTTACTGAGCTTAGATGACCTTGCTTCACCTTTTCAAGTTTCAACATGTATTAGTGTCCTTTTTGCAGATGTCGAATTTAGGATCCATTTTCAAGAGAGGTTTTGGTGCCAAAAAATATGTTACGAAGCTTCCCATGTTACGAAGCTCCCTTTCAGTGGTGATTGACACCTACTTTGGCTACCTGGCATGACACCTAGGCTAGCTACTGGACACTGGTTGACCTGAGCTTACCTGACCAGACCTACCCCCAGGCCCCAAATGCTGACAGGGGATTCAGGTTCAGCGCAAAATTTTGAGCAAGATAGCATTAAAATTGGGAGGTTCGTATTTCCTTTGTATTTCATTTTTGTAACCACCTGGTCGGGCAATGTGAAAGGGTGACAAATAAATATCAAAGCATGGATAAGATAGGCTACTATTTTTATTTTTCTTAGTTAAGAAAAGATAATCGTGTCAGGGCTATGACTAAAAATAAGTGGCCTAAATCCGATGAGAAAACAGGACTTGAGGGAACCCTAGGTTTGGCTCCTTGAGCCTCTGCCCCCCCCCCTCCAGCAAAAATCCCTTACAGGAGGCCCTGAAGCCCCCGGCCCCCACCTCAAAAAGTAGGTGGGCACTTGCCCACCTGACCCTCCTGTTCCTACGCCTATGCAATTTTGTTAATAGCCAAACTATCAAAAATAAAACACAAACTAATGTTTGTGGAATCAATAGTTTGATTCTGACACCAGATTGCCTCCATAAAAAATCAATTTCCTGATTGTCTTTTAGCATGTTTTGCATAAAAAACAGTCATTATTTTGGCTGTATTTTTTTGTGTGTGGTTAGCTTCATCATTTTTCTTTGCCACCTGCTAGCAGCACTGCCAATCAGTGTTTTACAAGAAGCATGCCAATTGGGGAAACTATGAGGCAGAAATAAAAACATTGATCGATCAATAAATGGATCTTGTACCTATAACCATATATGGGCATAAATGCAGTCCCCGCTATGACGGGGTGCATTCAGTGTAACGGGACAATACTTGCAGTATTGAGTACACCCACTGAAGAGAAAAAGCTTCCATTACCAAAGGAATGATAGTTAACGAGTAATACTTGACGAAAGTACGCACATTCACCCGAAAATGACGATGTTTTTTGCAGGTTCTGGGCGTCCACTTTGGCAGACAATCAGCTGGCCATTACATAAATGGATCGGCACTATGTAAAAAGTTTAGAAATTTATTTTTAAAACATTAAATACAAATAGTAACTATTGAATAATAATTAATTTTGCTATAATTAACAATATTGTAAACAAATTAATACAAATAATAACTATTTACCATCTCTTAATTACTCACTTTTTCTGGCACGTTTCTGTCAATCAGCAATTGCCGTCAAACGTCGGTTGGCCTTGAGTCACAACTTACTTCATTAGGACCGCCAGCTAATTGTGCGCTGAGTGAGTACAGGCCTTGTGTGAATTACAACTTGCTAATGTCTTATTTTTTCATTTGAAAGCTAGGATGCACAAAATCACATCCATTTTTTCGTTACATGGTCATGGCCCTGCCCACTCCAACCTCTCATTGGTCGATCAATATTTGGATTTGAGCCTCGTCCTTTACCCAACTGATGCACAACCTAACAGAACAGCTTCCAACAAAGTATGGTTAGTTTTACAATTGTAAGAATGCCCTGCTCCTTCATTTCAAAATGAAAAGTGATGCAACCATTAACAACACATGAGCCTAGTATCCGCCATCTTCACACAACTATATAGCCACCAAGATAAAGCAAAAAGGGATACCGGTATGGACTCTAGTCATGTCATGGCAGGCACAAGCTAGCTACAGGCAGTTTTTGCAAGAAGGTAGGTGGAAAAACAAAACAAAACAAGGAGACAAGTGACAACAATATGGGTGGGTGGAGTTCTTCTGGCTGTTTACTTAACCTTATCTATCATATATTAGGGAGAACAATATTTAGCTTACCTGTTGTAGACACACAACGACCACCATCCTTGAAACTGCACGTGCAACAATAACGCTCAAAGATATTCCGGCGTGCAAACAGCTGCGCCGAAATTGTAGCTCAGTCGTGCTTCCAAATCGACGTGGCACATCGCTGCCAGATCTTTTACTGGACGAGGAAGGCCTTTGAGTATGAAGTGGATAAAATATGAACTAACAGAATCGTTTAATTGGCCGGGTTAGGGTAAATCTGGTTTAGGCTAACGTGCTCCAAAGTTAGTATAAACTCGGATCTGGGCTGTTCCTATCAAAATACACTAGTTTTAATTTATGCTATCCAAAAAGTTAGGGTAAAATAAAATAAATTGAAAATCGGGTTTAGGCTAACGAAAAGTTAGCCTAAACCCGTTTCACAAAAGCCTGAGCGAGGCGAACACGATGCTGCCAAAATCGGCGCTCTGCGGCCGTTTTTGCGAAGTTATTCACCAAAAACTGCACCGTACCCTGGCGCACTTGACCTGACCTCAGAGGTCACCGGTTGACCTAGGACCTTAAAATCGGGTACCAATCTCTGCGTCTCGTAACGGCGCACACGCTCGTTTTTTCCGCGACGCGCTAACTCCACCAGGGGCGAAACGGCGAGGGGGGTCGTACCCGCCCCCCCCCCCCTCGGCCGGCGCGTATGTAGAAAACCAATAGGTCCGGCGAGGGTTAAGGCACAATGCCATTCTATATGAAAAATAGCTATGTGGTAAAACATTTTTTATCAAATAAATTAAGTAAGATATTAATGAAGACCGTGAGTGCTTATCATATCTCAGCCTAGCGTTGTGTCCATCGCCATTGCATCATTTATCTTTCTAACATCTACCGTGTTCTCGGCACACTCTGCCAGCTTTTTCTTCCTCCCATCCTTCGCTCAAAACGTCGCTCAAAAACCATGCTGTCAATCAGATATCATTTATCCGAGCGCCGCACTGGTCTGACTCTTTTTATGCCTTTCTCGCTGACTGTTTCTACATTGGTCCTCTTACCTCGTCTTCGTGAGGTATAAACATTTGTCCTAGGCTCTTGCAGTCATCAAGCTATATTTTCTCCAGCATCCCTCAGGGCGCTTGCATAGCCCCCACTTCAAACACCCTATTCGTTTTGTATTTACGCTAAGATCTGTCCCTTTATGAGGGCAGTATTTGTGTTCTGCTCCCTCTGACGTCCATCCTCTTCATGTGCGCAGTGTTCATGATCCGCCAGCTGCGCGGTCTGCGGGTCAACCTCTCCGGACTGGGACCTCTCAGCTGGTTGGTGAACCGGCTCCAGAGGTCCCTCATCAACATGTTCAGGATACGCATCCAGAGTCTGCTTCAGGTAAGAGAGTCTGGTTAGAGGAGAGATATTTCGTGATTGTCTTGGTAAAAACGATTGACGTAGTTGTTACTTTGAAATGTCGAGAGGTGGCCTATGTTTGCTAAGGTATTCTAAGACGTAAATGCTTGAATTTGTATAATGGGTTGCGCTCGTTATCATTTGGCCAAATTTTGGAATAATTTTTCTTCCAACGTCTGGTGTCAGGTGTAACAAAATTGGTTTATTTTACAATCATGTTTACAATCACTTAAATTCAATTGAAATAATCATCCCGTACCGAGTGTCTCATCCTGCGTTTCTCCGTTGCAAAAGATTAGGGGAAGGAGGGTGAATTGCGCCACCTTAAGGAAAAACGCCAATTAAAAGAAAACCGCAGGAGATATAAGCATGCACTGGTAACCATTTCAAAGAGGAACTCATTGGCTACGATTTAAGAGCCTCCCGATCAATTAAGAATGTTTCGTTTGCTTCTGACGGCTGTTTTTCAGAAACATGCAAAAGGGCGCATTTGCCAACAACTGCTGTAAATTGCGCCAGGGGGATGGCGCAATTAAAGCCCAATTGCGCCCTATACTTACATGGCTAAGTGAATGAGACGGAATGCATACACCCCGGCAGTCTAATGTCATTGCGGCTTACTTAAACATTTATAATGTTATTCAGGCTGGATAAATAATAAATGTAGATATAAATCGCAATGTTTTTGGCCCAAGTAGTTAACGTTACATGTGTCCGTACGCTTGTAAAAGTGCAACGAAAACGTTTACTGTAACCGACTAGATATATGTGAACGTATGCGCCTATGCAGTTAAATTTTCAATCGTTTCTCTCAAAATTAATAATTCTTTATCGTTTCGACAACTTTATGACCTCAGTTTTTACTTGTTTATCATAGCTGTCACTTTTCACGTCTTAGTCCATGTTGAAAATGTCGTATTTTGTCAATTGCACCACAAGTCGTAGCCTAAATGGCAGCTGCATTATAAGTTTTACGAGAGAAATAATTTGCGGACTGACGACAGCGGGCTGCTCCCTAGCGTGACATTTAACTCCTTCTTTATTGCAATTAGTTAATGATGCATTCATATTGTCGTGATACAATAGCTACACCATTATTCTATTTGCGCCCCCCTGGCGCAATTGCCATGGGCGCAATTAAAATTGAGGTACTTTTTAATAAAAGCGTAGAAGTTATCATAAAGATGTTGAAAGAAGTTTACTGTTTCAGTGAAATACAATGAAAAAAGGGTTTTTCTTTCTAAATATCACTCTGAAAATCAGACAAATATCGCAAATTTTTATAGCCAACGGTTCAAAATACTGCAAAAAAGCTAAGAAAACGCCATAACATCTTTGATGGCGTAATAGGCCTTGCTGATTGGTTTCATCGGAGAGTTTGGGCCATAAAATGAACTATCCGGTGGTGAAAATCATGTTTTCGAACACAGAATTCTTAACATGCCATTGAATCCGTGGGAATGTTGGTGGGCGCAATTGGTTAGGAGGGCGCAATACACCCACTTTCCCCTACATGGGTAGGTATTCGAACTAAATGTCACGAGCATCACAACACACCCCCATATCACGTGCGCTCATGCGCGCGGTGTTATGACAATCAGCCCCCACCCTTGTGATTCCAGGAGAGGGTGCATGGCCTGATCCAGACAGAGCTCAACAAATTCAGCCTGTCCGAGCTCAGCATGCGAGACATTATTGCATGACGGCAGGCTCCAGGGGTGTCCAACCCGGCCACCACGCCGCACGGCTGAGTCGGACACCCCTGGAGTAATCTCCCCCATCGCCTGACGAGAAAGGACGACATTTCTGCAAGACTTCGGGATGAGGAAAGCAGAGTTAAGCCTCCACTAGAGTCTATCAAATGATCGCTAGAAGAAATAATCAACGACGCAGCTTATAGCCTCAGTTGCGTAAAAATTCACCGAACATAGGATGCGTGCAAGAAAGGGTGGTGACTGGTGACCAAAGTATTACTAAACTCTTCGACTCCTTGTATCCGCCGAACCGTATACTATAGGGTTCAGACACGTTGAAAGTTAACAGGCTTCACTAAAATAATCCGATTGGCATCTGGCCTGGTGGCATAGTAAGAGCGGCAAGGAGCACTACGATACCGCATAAGTTTACAACATTCCATAATGCATTTGCAATAGGCATATAAAGTGTCGGGGTACGGCCGAGAGTAACAACTGGGACCCAAGAGCTAGTCTAGTATTATACATACAGCCGATATGTAAGCCTGCATCGATTCATATCAATAGCTCATGTCACGTGACATTAATCACTACATAAACTAGTCAAATGGACCGGTTGAACCAGCGCTTTATAACCGGTTCACCCTCTGATGAGTGGTTCCAGTTAGGAGACGTCTTGTTCATCTCGCAGACGCAATGTGTCGAGACGAGTTGATGACGTTGCGAAAGGAGTGCAAGTCTCCACTCGGCCTTGGCAAGCTTACTCAATGTGACATACGCTGCCCCGGTGACCATATCTGACGCATATGTGACGATTCGCGACAATGTGAAATGGTTTGTAATAGGCTGGTAACGCGGCGAATGGGTAGTTGGGTTCGGAGTGGCCTCCTTTAATCAGGAGAGCTGCAGACTTTAAACCATCAGTGATGGTGTGTATGTGTTATTGTGCCCTATTTGGGCGTGGTGGGCTAAATGTACACATGTAACGGTATAATGTACACATTATACACTGACTATCTAAATGGAAAGCTTGCATGTATGTTGCCTATTGTTGTCAAACTGTCGTTGCATATCCTTCTGTCGCCACAAATTTCATGTTCATTGTCATAAACACAAGCCTTTCAGGCAGAAAACTTAGAAAATGCTTTCATTGTGCTAAGCCGCTGCGAAGGTTGACACTCGTATGTATTTGTACCACTGAACATTGTAATGATATATCATCGGTAAAAACAATATTTATTTTTCTTTCGATGATTTTTCCGAGGACTTTTTAGATGCCGATAGGAATTGTGGTAGGTTATTGTATTATGAAATGTTTTTGTACCACTGCTTGTATATCGATGTTGCAAATGTACCTTGCATGGCTTTTACGTCTCCTTTAGGCTTGATGTTCTCATACATTCCTGATGATACATGGTATCCGTTGATTGATATTGATGAAGTGTTTGCTTTAGATGTTTTTATACGCCTATACATGCACTGTCAGTTGGAGAAGCGGAACACGACGACTGAAAGAAACTGTATCCCATTCCCATGCCAATGTCTATGATTCGAGTTAGAAAAATTAAGAATTTGTTGAAAACAAATGGCAGTTAAACATACAGTATTCACATGCGAACTTGAATCAATCCGTTTTCTACGCAAACGTTGAACCTGCACTCCAATATTTTTTTTCGGTGTCATGAAAATAAACCCGCAATGTGTAAAGCAAAAGATGTTTTCCTGTCATTACGAGCGAGCGAGCGCAGCGAGCGAAGTGAGTCTTTTCAATATAACGGAAAAATCTCAGTATGAGCGGCCCGGCCCGGCCCGGCCCGGCCCGGCCCGGCCCGGCCCGGCCTGTAACGCTTTTGAGAGGCTTATATCTCAGCAACCGCTGGACCGATTGGCCTGCGGTCTTTTTTGTTGGGTAGCCCCATCCCTTCTACCCCGTAATTGTCTACTTTTGATACATCTCAGTGACCGTCGTGGCACGTGCCACGTGAAAAGTCAAGGGTGTTCAAGCTGTTTTGCAAAAGTAGTAATTTTGAGAGGCTCATATCTCAGCAGCCGCTTGGGCGATTGACTTGCGGTAATTTTTGTAGGGTAGCAGCAATTCTTCTACCCAAAATAGGGTACTCTCGATGCATGTGGGTCACCCCCAGTGCACGTGCAAAATACAACAATAAGAGGTGCCAAATTTGTTCCCATTTCAGTAACTCGGTAATTACTGGGGCGATTTCGCTGAAACTTGGCATACAGGTAGGCACCCACCAGGCAATGCATTCCCATGTGTTGCGGTTAGGGTGCTACTGCACGTGCGCACGTGCAGGGGGCGTTTCCAGATCTCGAGAACGACTGGGCCGATTGCGCTCAAATTTGGAACACGGTTGGGGACCGGTTAGTAGGGTGCCGTGCAAAAGTCATTTTGGACCCCGTTTGCACGTGCGCACGTGCAGAATGCCGCTTCCAGATCTCAGGAACGGCTGGGCCGATTGCGTTCAAATTTGGCACACCGCTAGCGACCGGTTAGAAGGGTGCTTTGCGCAAGCCCGTTGGAAGCACCCTCTCGCCCTTCCGCACGTGCAGGGCTATCTCGCTCGCTCGTTCTTCGCCCAAGAGGCGTTTTACTGGTATATAAGTTTGAGTTGTTTTTTAGCTGTGTTTTAGTTGTGGCAACAAGTTTTTAGTTGTGTTACTAGCCCTCAACAACATAACTACTGTAATTGTTCAGCCATCGAAGCACGCCATTGTGAGCCACAGTGGTCGCATCCGAGTGGGCAGATGCAAAAGTTTCAATGGAGAACTGCGGAGCTGGGAACACTCAGAAGTTAGTACTTATCAGTGCTTACAACAATATTCTGAGGAAAAACTGTGTCAACACCTTGTGATACCATTACACTCAAATTTCTCACTCTCTTTTTTGATGATCATTGAAAATTATGATCCACCTACATGCATCGAAATCAGCAGATCATACGTGTATTAGGTCCTTACCGATATAGTTAGGCACACACTTCCATATTTATGCATCTGCGTATATTACCTTATTAGTATGCAGCTGTTTCTTCAATGGGAGAAAGAAAAGCAATCTAATACATTTTACTGCATCTTTTATAAGGTTCCATCCTGAGGCTTCATCCCCGCATCGAGCCTTTACTTTGAGCCATGTCGTGCTCAATTAGCCGTTCTACCGACGCACATACACATGTACATTTCTACCGACGCACATACATGATAGGGGAAGGTGGGGTAAGACGGCCCAGCGGGGCAAGACGGACCACCAGCCCTCCCGGCTGAACCGCTGCTGGTATCTACTGCTTTATGTACTCACTATGTTTGTTTTCCTTCGTAACAATTGCCACCTCGAGCTCATGCTGCTAGGATGCATAGCTTTTGAGTTATTGAGAAAAATGTTGCTTTTCGTCAAACCGATCTAATATAAGAGGTCTACGGGTGATTCAATTACGGCGCCTTTCTTGCATGATTACTTTCTATTTTGCACTTAACTCTGAAGAACAAAGTTATAAACTTAGTTATAGTCACACTTTAGGAAAGGCAAGGTTTTGCAATGTTGGGCTATTTGACATATACGTCATGATAATGACAGAATTTAGATTTGGGGCAAGACGGACCACTGTGGTCCATCTTACCCTGTGGTGGTCCATTGTACCCTGCATATGGAAAGTTCTTTTCCGAAACATTGACACAAGTTTAAGTAAGCTAATTTTTCAGGAAGGAGTCTTTGTTGCATGTGAGCCATGCATGCAAGTGCTCAGTTAGCATGCATTCATGCCAAACGACAATCAACACACATGTTCCTAGCTTTTAGCTGCACTTCCATCACACATGAGTAAAGAATAAAGGCTCATTTTGTTATTTTACCATTCTGGTTACTTTTTCTTACAAGAGTACAGAGCAGAAGTGTAACACACATGAACGGATAGCAGGCACTGCTGGGTGGTCCGTCTTACCCCACGTTTTTTCTTGTCTGAGTTTTTGACATGTCCCTCTTTAAGAGCATCCACCACCTAGATGTCTTTAATTTGAAATTTAGTCTTTACACATATCAACAGAGGAAGGATTGAGCATTCCGAAGACTATAAATAATATGAATTACGAGAGCAGTGTAGCAAGATATGCGGCCTCAAACCTTAGCTGGTCCGTCTTACCCCACCTTCCCCTACATGTCCATTTCGCAGGTGTGCCAGAGTGAAACACTGGATGAATCAGAGTGAACCGGGCTTCAGTGCCTAAACATACTCGGCAGAATTCAAACAAGGCGACCAGTCGTCTTACTCAGCGCCTCAAGGTTGTCCAACTCATGTTTTACAATTGGAGTATATTCCAACCGCCTTCATTGTCGCATCAGATATAAAGGATTGCAATCAGCGTGGAGTTCAGCCGTAGCTCTGAAGCGAGACGTACCATATGTCTCATATGTAGTCCCTCTGCAAAACAAGCGTAAACACATTGTTCCAGAACTCACTGGATTTCTCTCGCATCACTCTATTACCGTGTTTGTAACATCTACGACAAATAAGATGGGAAAGACAAATCCATGGTTTACAAATCCAATAATCCACGAGTGCGATAGCGGGTGAGAGGCAGTTCAATGACTTTCGTAAAGCTTTTTTTTCAGAAAACTCCGAGTGAAAACTGTCGCTGACGATATGTTATCCTCACCTGAAACAAACAGTAAACACCATACCTGTTAGCCGTTTCCACGACGGGTCATCTGCCGAACGCAAAAACGTTACAAAATCTCCGCCAAATTCATTTTACAACAAATGTCTTGAGATCACGAATTTGTTTGAGAGCTTTAATCGGGAATAATGTCTGATTACACTATGCAACAGGCATTTTGTTCCTGAGTAACGACCGATTTTTTGGACTCATTGGGTCCCATTATAACCGAAATGGGCATTTATTTTGATCTGAAAATGCTTTTCCGGTTTTCAGAGACGATTTTCGATTTTTGGCCCCGAAATTCGGTTTTTGGCCCACTGTGTCCGGTGTAATTGAGTAATCGACTCGCGGTAACTTTCATCGCCCTTGCTATGCCACAAGCTTTCGAATGATATCCGGTTTTGCATGTTTGCGTGTAAAAATAACGTCATAAATCTATGTTAAAGTAAGAAAATATTGAAATTTTGTAAAAATTTGACATTTTTTTCTATTTCATTTCAAAATACAGAAAAAACTAAAGGCCCTATCCAAATTCTGAGCCCAGTTCCTTGATGAGCATTCAATTTCCGTTCGGAAGGTACTATTTTAGTGCATTTTATCGGTTTACTGTGGCGTCCAGATTGAGTCACTTGAAAAACGGGCCCTCAGCCATTTCCATGAAAATATGTGTTCAGTGCATGAAGAATCATTCTAACAAATGGAGGTACAGATCAAGATTCTGAGCGACAGGACTGCTCAAAAGTAAGTTCCTGCGTGTGACCCGAGGTCACAAGGGGTCAACAACATGACCTCAGTTGACCCCTCGTTGATCCTATGGCGTTAACATACGTTATCAGGTTAATGCTATGTGATATGACTTAGGATATGTGTTTAGGTTAACTCAATCTGGACGCTACAGGAATCCGATAAAATGCACTAAAAAGGTACCTTCCGAACGGAAATTAAATGCTCTTCAAGGAACTGGGCTCAGAATTTGGATAGGGCCTTTAGTTTTTCCTCTATTTTGAAATGAAATCGAAAAAAATGTCAAATGTTTACAAAATTTCAACATTTTCTTACTTTAACATAGATTTATGGCGTTATTTTTGCACGCAAATATGCAAAACCAGATATCATTCGAAATCTTGTGGCATAGGAAAGGCGATGAAAGTTACCGCGAGTCGATTACTCAATTACATCGGACA